CCAAAACCCCAAAACCCCAAAACCCCAAAACCCCAAAACCCCGTTTATGGGACGTGATATTGAAAACAGTAAAAATCGTGATATGGGTAGTGGGGATGTGAGGAGAGCAGTGTTTGGAGGGATTTAGGAGAGAGTAGATTGGTTTTAATGTATTCAAAAGGAGGAATAGTAATAGATTCAGATAGAGTAGGCGTTAAATAACTTAAATTTTCTAATTTCTAATAAATCGACATATTGCTTTCGATATTATTTTAAACCTGTTTTGAACTTCCTTAAATTACTGCTACCATCTTAGAAAAGTAACTCTATCTTAAACTTTGCAGTCTATTGTAGTGAAATCCCAAACCCTTTGCAATATTTATAAAGCAGAATATTTATAATAAACCATATTAAGGCAGCCATTTTGAGAAATGGCTAATTACGTTTGACAATCAAGAATACTCTATTTTTAATATTTGCCTCTCAAATGTGCCAAATTTATTATTCAGGGACAACCATTCATTGTCAACTAGTGTTTCCTAGCTCTTCCTGGGATTTTGGATTTAGGAACTTCGACTTCTTAAAAAGGGGGTATACTATTATATCGTCTAACCCTACAAATTTTCTTTGCGAGTTTGTTTTGTTAGATCTACTTCCACTATCATCAAAAAAACCTTCTTGGATCTCCATATTTTTCGCTGGTTTCCTATAAGTTATTAGTTTTTAGAAAAATAGGTTCTCAATATTTTAAGAATTTTAGAAATTGCAAAATATATGGCAATTTGGTGAAAGCATTTTCTAGTGAGCTTGATGAGTACTACTAATTATCTATGCGATAAAATACTCGTATGATTCTAACTGCTCTATTTTAACTGGCAAAAACCATTAATTGCTAGATCTAATAAAGGGGGAATGTAACTTTAAGGAAGAGTTCTAAATTATTGAGTTCGATATTATTAACTTTCATTACTTTTCACCAAAATGTGTAAAATAAGCCGTCTGGCGTAAAGAGAAATACTTACTTTGTAGTAGATCCAATAGGGTTCTCCTTCCCCGTATCGAGACTTCTCCTCTTCTTCTTAGCCATGATAATTTTTGTAGGAGGCTTAATATTGATTCTCCTTTTCTTAGAATAGCAAGAGATCACAACCTGGCAAACTAGGTTTATGATACTAATTCCAAATACTAGCATTGTCGTCCCAATAATTGAGTTGTTCAAGAGTTCTTTGAAAATAGTCAATTCAGACTTCTGGTAAAAGATTATCAGCAGGATTATGACTAAGTAGGATACTTCATTCACGATCTCAATAATATTTGGATACTTCTCATCATGATGTCTTACTATTATTGTCATTAATAGTATTAAAACTTGTAAACTTGCGAAAATAAATAGCCTGAGCATGAGATTATTTGGTCTGAGAGCCACAATTACTACTACCAGCAAAAGTCTTCTAAGTAGGAATGTAAAGTTATACAGCTGTGCAAATTTATTCTTCTTGAATCCTTCAAAAAGTTCTTTGACATATCTGTTTTCATGAGGATTTTTAATCGAGAAGTACAATATTGGAATCAGACACACAAATAAGAGAAGAAGGATAACAATCACCACACTTATGCTGAATGAGATAAGATTATTTAAAGCATCAGAGAGCCTAGACACTTCACTTACTGAAGCCAGGCACAAAAACAGAAATCATTCTAGAAAGAATCTCAAATAAAATCTGAAATAAAACAAGTTTGTGAAGTAGCTGTATGCTTTCAAAAGAAATGGACGATTTCTTTTCTTTCAGGAAATTCTCAAAAGAGGATGCAAGAGCAGGACAAGGATAGTGATTCCAATTGAGTAAAGAAGGATATCAAATCAGTTAACGAAAGCACTCCCTGACTCATACTCATTATCTTTAAATTCCTGGTATGGATTTTCATAATCAATATGCTCCATTACTGGTTCAAATATCGAGAAAGTCTTGAAGTCCAAAAGATTGATATTTAGAATACTTGTCTCAAGAGCTTTTAAAGTCTGAATGAACTCTGTTGGAAGCTCTGCATTCAAAAATGGTAAAATCATCAACAGCTGGAACTGGTTGAACAAGACCCACACATTCTTCACTGATGAGCCTGCTACCGCACCTCCTACCATCGATGCTAACATTGAGCCTGCAATTCCTGCTATTGTTACTACAGATTTTACGCTCAGGATTCCGTCACCTTTATCACAGGTTTTAGAGTTAGTTAGCTCATATCCGTCCTTACAAACAGTGCATTTAGAAGAGATGCAAGTTTTACAGTTTTGGGTATTACAAACTGGTGGGGAAGTAGGAGATGGATTTGACTCCTCTGGGTCTGAAGTAACAGGTTCTGGGACTGGAGTAACTGGCTCTGGTTCTGGTTCTGGCTCTGGTTCTGGCTCTGGCTCTGGTTCTGGAGCTTCACCTACATTTATCTGGACATTTCTAATATAAGTCTTTCCTCCAACTATACTTCTTCCAGCAAAATAAAATGTTTGACCTTCTACAGATTCGGGGACTGTATAATCAAAGGATAGAGAATCTGCACCGACAGTCACCCAAGATGGCTTTGGCTCTCCATTGGAGTGGACATCAACTACAGAATTGATTGATGTTCCTCCAGTGAGAGAGCAAGGATAAAAATTTGGAATGTTTCCAGTCTCTTGAACAGAAGTATCTAAAACATAATCTGTTCCTTGATAGATTACATCTAACTCCACACTCAGATCACCAGTTTCTACTGGAGAGAATAAAACAATTGAAGCGATAGATACCGATCCTTTCGTTTCAGACGAAGGGCCTGAAGTAACTAGAGATGTAGCTTCGTTAGAGTAGGAGTAGCCAGATGATGATGTGAAGGAGTTACTTGTTGATAAAAATGATACTTCAGTGTTTTGACCATATATTCCATTTGAAGCCAACCTTGATATTGCAACTGCTGAACTAGAAGATTGAACACCAGACCCAATTAGAGTGTGACCTCCTGCTTCAAGTATCCATCCTGGACTAATTGTAGTGCTTACATAAGCGTTAGAGAAAGAGTTAGCTGAGATATCGTATTCGATTTTGTATGCCCCACCATCATATTTAAGCAGCATGAATACCTTACTGAAAGAAGTTGAATAGGAAATACTACTAATTTCCAGATTGGTCTGAGTGAAGTCTGGAACAAAAGAACCCTCAAGAGTTCCATCTGTAAGGCTGCTCACATAAACAATTGGTTTAGTATCCAAAAAGTAGCTGATGATTTTGTTATCAGATTCTAAAATCAATGCATCATTAGCTCCGCTGAGCACTCATGCAGTCGGGCATCCAAGCTTCTTCGCCCATTGCTGAGTGCCTGTATCATACTCAACAGAGAGTAAACTGTAGGCTTGCGTAGGGCTTGTCACTGAGCCACTAATCATCAGGAGTTCTTGACCCGAGAGAACATAGGAATTAATAGAGTAAATTGAGTCCATACTGATTGGAATCGAAGTAATGGACGTAGTTCCAAAGTCTGCATACTCAATTTTAAACACATGAGGAGTTGATGAGATTGTACCTGAAACATAGATATTAGAATAATCGCTTGAGAAGATAACAGAGTGGCAGTTCACTGCACTTACAATTCTCAAGTCTTCAATAACTGAGTTTGAGGTACTATCAAGTTTTACCAAAGGACAGTTTGAAGAAGATTTAAGCACAAATGCCAAATTAGAGTCTGAATGAAGGGAAATAGCACCCTTGGCAATATTATAGTTATCGATATTTCTCATCCAAATAGGAGTAAAGTTTGAATCAAATTTGAAAATCCTAGTCTTTTTGGTTAATATGAATCTTCCATTTGTAGTAAGATAAGCACATGAGTGGTCTGGGCAGGAGATTCCATCAATAACTTCAATACTTCCAAACAATAAATCGCTGAATGAATAACTTTTAACCTTCATTGAGGTATCAGTCCCGGCTGGGCATTGGGCTGCCATCATAATTTCCAGTAAGATAATTAACCTATACATGTATATTTAGCATCACCCAACTTAAATGAGAAAACAATTCTGATATTTAAGTTATCAACCTGAATTAAGTCCTATCTAGCAGAAGATGCTTCAAAAGTAGTTTAGCATAGCTACTCATTCCTAAATTATCTTCAGCGAGTAAAGGAAAGAAAGAGCAAGAGAGATAATAGCTTTTGGAAATTGTGAGGTTTTACAAAAAGTGGTGAATAGGTTGTATAAAAAAATATTATTAGCATGGATTAGTTATGAAAAAGAGTTCTAGGTCGGTGAAGGGAAAATTTTAAAGACTATTGGCATGTTTTGAACAGTAATTAGAATTAGTAATACGTTAAATTTATCATATAAGAAAAATAGTAATCATTAAGCTTCTTAATTTTTCATAAAACTCTAATTTTTCATATGAAATCACCTGTCCATAAATATATATTTAAGCATATCACCATCTCTAAATAAACAAACCCTCTTCCAATACCAACAAAAAGCATCCACCAACCCAAAACCAGTCTCCCAACCCATTCTCCCCCTAAACCTACAATTCCCTTAACCCCAATAACCTCAACCTCTCTACTCCCCAACCCCCCCAAAACTTAACTAAAAATATCTTCTTCTTAATCTCTATGCATAAAATCCACAAAATCTTTCTTCACAAATTCATCTATAAGTTTACTAAAAAAGTTGAAAAATAGAACAAAATGTGTCGATTTTGTTCAATTTATGAAATTTTGTTCAATTGTGGGGTTTTTGTTGTGACAAGGAAATTTTGGAAATTACGTGCAGATCAAGATCTAATCTAATGCATCCATAATAAAGTTAAGTTAAATGTTAGGGAGGTGTTGTGATTTTGGGATTAAGAAGGAATAGAGGGAGTTAGATGGGAGATTTTTGGTGAGGTAGTATTTTGGAAAATAACCAAATTTTTCGTATTTTGAGTAGGAGGAATATATTCACTGCTAAATGTCATAGTAAGGTTAAAGAAACATTAATAGCATTATAACTTTATTATGAATTGTGATTAATATCTTCATTGCTTACTCCTCTAATTATCTAATATCACTATTGTTCTCAATAACTCCGTTGCTTCTTACTAATCACAAACTCTTTCACTATTAGACCAGGCCGGAGTGTTAATAGGTTTTTATACGAATAATCTTAAATGCTTGATGCTAAATTTACTTCTTGCTCAAATTTAGTTGTAACCCACCATATTATGATCATTGTTAACTTAATATTTATATTGAAAGCATCTTCATTTTTCCTTTTATGTTGTGGGGTTTTGGGGTTTTGGGGTTTTGGGGTTTTGGGG